TTTTGAAGCTGGACATGATAAAAATGAGAACTTCTTTACAAAAAGTCTTTATTTGACCTCTTGGTGTTCTTTTATTCCAAGAATAAGAGATATGTGGGAGACTTAACTCTTAATGTTACATTAAGCCAAGCCAGGCTTAACTACTGAGAAGGCTGTGATAGTCATTTGGAGAGAGACAGGGGATGTGTGTATTGGAGCAAGCAGCACTTCATTAGTGTGGCTTATATTGGCAATTTGAATATCATTGTAGCCTATACTAAAGGCTTGCTTGAAGTTAAAATTCAGAAAAGAAATTCTTTTGCTTAACTTCTAGCAGCTGAAGAATGGTAAAGTAAATGTGACTGTTGTTTCTTTTACATTAACCCCATTTTGTCTGAAATAACTGGAAAAAATGCCTAGGTGTAGCTCTGTAAAACTGGGGTCCTCTTTAGCCAGTAAATCCCTTAACTTGTCTCTTGGCACCATCTGCATGCATTTACCTTGGTATGTAAGATTCCAGGCAAAGCTGAAGCACCAAGTTTTTCTTTTTTAAATTGATAAGTTTGTGACAAGTTGTCATGCATTTCTGCAGGTTTTTGTGTTCCAGTAGGTGGGGTTTTAATTGCAAAAATAACTTTCTTAACACATACTGAAGTATGTATCACTTCCTTCTGAGTCGAAAAGACTGTTCACAAGTATCAAAGACTTTTTTTGTCTTTAAACTTAGTCCAGCTTCTAGAGGAGCCTGTTGTGTGTATGGAACATGGTACGTTTCAGCTTCACACATGCAGTATTCTGTCTGGTCTTGCTGTACCTCTCACTCACGAAGTACTTCAGTAACATCAAGTTTTCAGAGCTTTTGATTATGTGTCATGCACATATGTCTTAATAAAATACACAGATCTAACCTTTAGGAATCAATGTTATGTTCACTATATGTATAAGAGGTCTGGTAACCATTGTGATAATTTGCTACTGTTATTATTTATGACTTTATACAATGTGGAGAGATGCACTTATGTCTGGTTTCCACCTTCATCCTAGTACCTCTCAAAGCAACAATGCACGCACACACATGTGCATATTTAGATGTCTGCATGGGTTGCTGCTTTGAGAAGAAGTAGAATGATGAAGTCAGAAACCAGACTCTCCCTGGCCCAGTATTGTTGAAAAGCTAGTGGAGTGTTTTCCTTTGTTGTTTTTTTGTAATAATTTAATGTGTTAGTTTTTCCAGTGGCTGCCTGCTTTCAGGAGGGAAGGGCTTATTTGTATTCCTGAAGCTTAGAGGGAGATAGAATCACACTGATGCAAACTATGGGTTTTTAAGGTGAATGACACTTTCCACCTGAATTTTTTTAAAAAAGAGCATTTCTTTGGGGACAACTAAACAATAAAATATATTTTCTCTTTAAAGATAAAGCCAAAAGACAGTTAATGTTGAAGATTTTAATCTAAAACTCCAAAAGCATAAAAACTTGGAACTACTGCTCTGTATGTAGTACCAGAGGGAAGATGTCAGCAGATGTGGTGCTCAGTGAAGGAAGCAAGTCCTAAGCTTATCCAGGCTAGTAGGTTTAAAAGAATGTCACTAAGTTAATTTTCAGTGACTGCCTCTAAAGGGTACAGAAGACTCTAGTTTATTTTCACTATTATTGCTTACATAGTGAAAAATTATTTTTTTAATGTTAGTATAGTTTCTCTTCTTCTGAATGTTAGTCAACAGATTAGATGCAAATTGATATTATCTGTTTTTTCAGAATTCACAGTTGGTGCGCCAAGCCTACTGTGTTCCCCTTCTGCACACAGCTGATGCATGTGAACAGGCTCTAAGGACCGACAGAGCAGATAGTTTAGGTGAATTACCTTGCCAGCTAGAACTTTTAGTCCTCTGTTGTGAAAATAGCATTTTTATGTTGCTTATTTGACATCATTATATTACTGTTGCATTAGAAGTATTTTGTGTTTACATGTTGTACAAACACAGCCAGTGTCTGCTTATAGATGTTAGATGAGCCAACTACAGATAAAGGAGCATAAGCAGACAGTGTTGGCCACTGATCATCAATGATACTAGTATGGTACCAGTTGCATGACTTCAACGAAAGCCTTCTAATCCCTCTTCCTTTGGAGGAAAAAAAGGAAATATTTGTGGCTATTTACAGATAGCTTATTGTACTTGAGAAAAAGTGCTTTTCCTGTATAGTTTTTTGTTGTGGAAAAAAAAAATTACAAGTGAGCAATGGAGGCAGATGATTTAGTTTATCTTTGTTGGAGGCTCCACTGTAAGACTTCTCTTCCCCTGCCCCACTCCCTCGCCTTTAACTCTCTGGGGATCGAAGGCTGAGCTCTTTTCCTGAAATAGCAGATAAGCACTGTAACACACAGGGTATGCTCTCCAGATCATGAGAAGAGCATATCAATTAATGAAGGTCACACAAGCCTATAGTAGACCAGAGTCTTAAGACTGAGTTTTAAGCCAGACTCTTCAGCTTTGAACTGCCAGTCTTCCTGCATGTGATCTTTTCCCAGTTTCTTAGTGTAATTCCAATATCCAGAAACTGGGTCTTGACTCTCTTTGTTTTAGTTAGAAACCAGTTAGATAAGTATACTGAGAGCAAAACTACAGGGGCTTTTGAAGTCAGCTTCTTAAGGTAAAGCACTGCGCTAAAGGAATCTTTGATCCTTTCTTAGCTCAAGGGGTGTGGGTGGCAAGTGTGTTTGTGGTGATCATCAAACAGGCGAAAGTTCACTAGAATTTGAACCCACATGAATACTTGGAATTTCTTGTTGTAATGACTTGCTGAGCATGTTTATTTTGAGAGTGGATAAATGGTTAGTACCTGCTCATATCTTTCTAGAGTAACTATGGATTTGGCTTTCAATTGTAGGGTAGCTTGGCTAGAGTGCTAAAGGTTCTGTCTGCTGATGCAGGTAGCTTTTTTTCCCATCGTAAGCCTTTACATGCTGTTTAAACTACTACACACTTAGGAGTTTTTGCTTTTTTCCTTGGTGCTTTCATTTCAAAGCCAGGGATTGTGTTTTTGTCTCACTGTCACTTTTCCCTGAGCATGCCACTGTCGTGGTCTTTTTCCTAATTTTGGGGGAATACAGAAAAAGTGGATCATAATAATGGCATATTGCTTTTTCTGTTGTATCTTCTGCCTAATCTTAAAATTATTTTTGGAATTGCTTTTATGATATTTACAAGTTCCTTTTTCCTGATGTTTCATAATATAGAAATTAGACCTATTAACAATTAATTTAGTCCTAATCTATGTTATTTCTAAAGGCTTGGGTACAGCGCCACAGTTGTTATGTCCTCTTCTTCCCTTTGTCCTCACCCCTCCTTCTAGTCTTCCCATCTCTTTTTGTCAGTTCCTTTTAATACACTTAAACCATTGTTTTGTTGTTTTTCTGATTCTTGGACAACTAGTCTTGAAATACTTTTTTAAAAGTATGGCTGTGCTATATGGTGGCATGTTTTTTTCTTTGCTCATTCTTAAACTATGCTTTTCCATGAAGGTACTCTTTCAGCTTTTGACTGTTCAGATTCTATTGTTTGAAATTGTAGAAAGCCTGAGAATTGGAAAATAGGCCTTTGAATATAGGGCCTATACTTCCTCAATACTTCAGGAAGTCTTTATTACGTGAAAGTTTTTCTTTGATTTAAGAAAGTATCAGTGCTGGTCTCTGAAATCCCACATACTGTGGAGACTCACCTGTGCAAACTTTACAGCCAGATAAGAAAAGGAAAATTATAGTTGCCATTCTTGTGTTCCTGATTTGTGAGATAAACCCCTTAGTTGCCAAGAGATCTCACTAGATGGTAAAAGAGTGCATTCTTAAAGAGCTTAAGTTTTGTGAATTTTAACTGAATGCTTTTAATTAATTTATTTTATAGCATATCATAAGTTAGTCTAAATCTCAAATACTTAAATCATAACTGATACCTAAGGAATATCTACCTAGAAGCTAACCATTGTCCTTTAACACTTATGTGAGAGCAGGTTTTTGAATTAGGCAGAGCTTTTGTATCTCACTTTATGGAATGTTTGCTAAAACAAACTGTATTATGTAGACTTTCTGATGTAAGCACTACTGTTCTTTAATTTGGTTGTCGGTTTTGTTACTGTCTATGGAACAAGGAGTACATACTTGGTCAGGTTAGGGTCCTGTTTTGATTTCTGCTTTAGTACCAATTAAGTGGCATAGAAGAATATTCTTATTTTTCTCATATTTATGTGATCATACAGTACTGAAGTACTAAGAGGTACTGCAATGGAGTCTTTCATACTTGAAATACCAATACAGAGAAAGACTTGCTGCTTTGTTTAGCTTAATGGTTTCTTATATAGAGAATTGTCATAATAGAATTAGAAATTTCTCTTAAAGCTAATTACCATTTCTTTGGCAATACTTACCTTTTTTTCTTTAGTGAATCTAGGCTGACAAATGCACCTTTACAAAATGATAATGAATTCTGTATGGAAAGAATTTGTTTAACTCTTACTTGGGAACTGTAATCATGTTAGTATCCCAAGCTGCCCTCTGTTTTTATCTGTTGAACTATAACAGCCTTCAAAGTACATTGTATTTGTAGCACACTTTCTTGCAGGACAACCCACTTCTCTATTTAAAGGAAATAGTTTGCTTCTCTGTATCTGTCAGTTATACTTTCTTTATTCCTGTGCTGTCAACATGTGTTCACTAACATGACACAACTTTGAAAAAAGTTAATGAAGAGAAGACATTTCTTTTCCTAAATTCTTTTGGGGCTAGTGTTCTGTTTAGTGTTAAGTTTTGGAACATTTAAGTGGGAATGCATTTTGAGGAGTAATTATTTCACTTTTTGAAGTGGAAGCAGGTTAGCCTAGTGTATGTTTTACTACTTGCCTCCAGTGCAGTATGGCTAATGAAATAGAGTGGTTTAGTCTTCTGGTTCCAAACGCTGCCTTTTTCTGGGTGACTGTGTTAGGTCAGGGTCTACTCTTAGAGCAGGCAGTACCAAAAGCTATTAGAACATGTATGGTCCCAGACTTTTCCTTCCCTCCACTTGCTGTACCAGATTTGGGTTTTTTTGCCCTCATTCAGTTGTTCAAAGAGAAGTAAAACATACCTACCTCCAAGTCCAGCAATAGTTGACAAGGCATATAAGACATGGTGCTCCCACATTTTTGTTAAGGAAGTGAGCGAAGAGCAGAAAGTACCTAGAGGGTATGCAGTCAACTAATGATATCCGCTGGCTTTCTCAAAACAGTTGTGTGTAGACCATACACTATGAAGAAAAATGTGTGTTTGTCTTTTACTTTTTTTTTCCCCTTCCCTACTTTTCCCTCCCCTAGGTCTAAGGAAGAAATTTTTTATCGTGAGGGCGGTGAACCACTGGCACAGGTTGCCCAGAGAGGTGGTAGATGCCCCATCTCTGGAAACATTCAAGGTCAGGTTGGCCAGGGCTCTGAGCAACCTGGTCTAGTTGAAGATGTCCCTGCTCACTGCAGGGGGGTTGGATTAGATGACCTTTAAAGGTCCCTTGCAACCCAAACTATTCTATGATTGTGTGACTCCTGAAAATTAAGTAAAGAAAAGGGAATTTAAAAGAGAAACCATTCTTTTCTGTAATTGTCAAGAAAACTTAGAGCTGAATGAATAGCCTGAAAATATAAGGAAAATTAAACCTGTGAATAATTAGTCTAATACTTACTATTTATATGGAGTGGAAGGTGTGTATCTTCTGCGGAGGAAATAAGAGGGACAAATGAGAAGACATTTAAGACATGAATCAGTGGAATTTTTCTAGCTGTGCTCCATATTTAGCAAAAGAAATATAGCTTTGCTTATATTTGTTCATTTTACCTTAACTCATAAGATTTATTTTTCCTGGTACAGTGTTTATGATGTCTTGTGCCATTATGCAGTGAACTTCTTTTGGTTATATGCTGCCTTGTCAGATGAAGGGATAATACTTGCTATGAACTCTTTATTCTGAAATCCTCTCTGTAAGCTGTAGGCAATCCAGGAGACTCCTGGATTGCATGGAGGATAACTTCCTATTTCAGGTAATAGACAGCCCTACCAGAGGGGATGCCATACTGGACCTGTTGGTCACTAACGTAAGTGTGTTAATTGGTGACGTCAAGACTGGAAGCAGCCTGGGCTGCAGTGATCATGCGCTGGTGGAGTTTGCAGTCCTGAGGGATACGGGGCAGACAAAGAGTAAAGTCAGGACCCTGAATTTTAGGAAAGCAAACTTCCAGTTCGTCAGGGAGTTAGTCAACAGGACCCTCTGGGAAGCTGCCCTCAGGGACAAGGGAGCAGAACAATGCTGGCAGAACTTTAAGGACACTTTCCATAGAGCGCAAGAGCTCTTGATCCCCAGATGTAAGAAATCAGGAAGGGAAGGCAAGAGGCCAGCATGGTTGAGTGGATACATGATGGGCAAACTAAAGGGCAAGAAGGAAACGCACAGGGCGGTGAAAGCAGGGACAGGTATCTTGGAATGAGTACAGGGATGCTGCATGGTTGTGTAGGGATGGGGTTAGGATGGCCAAGGTGCAGCTGGAGCTAAACTTGGCAAGGAGTGCAAAGAATAGTAAGATGGCCTTCTACAGGTATGTCAGCCAGAAAAGGAAGGTCGAAGAAAGCGTACCCCCTCTTGATGAGCAAGACTGGCACACTGGTAATAATGGATGAAGAGAAGACTGAGGTACTTAATGACTTTTTGCCTCAGTCTTCAAAGGCAGTCTGGCAGTCCCACATCTCTTGAGGGGTTGGCTTACAAGACAGGGACTGGTGGAGCAAAGTCCCTCCCACTGTAAGGGAAGATCAGGTTCGAGACCACCTGGGAAACCTGAATATGCACAAGTCTGTATTGCTCATTGAAGGGCATTGGGATAGATGACCTTTAAAGATCCCTTCCAACCCAAACTATTCTATGATTCTAATAAAACCTTTTCCCCTTTGCTTTCTAATGTTGGTTCATATTGAATACGTTTTAGGAGATGGGGATGACAATAAGAGCTTGATAAAAATCCTTTCCTTACTTGGGAATCACCTGCTCAAAATGCTTATGCTCCATCTGCTGTCATACTGGTTGACCTGTTTTGCATCAGTATTTTTACTTTTTATCTCAGTGATGGACGTTACTTGAAAGTCGGGTTAACAGAAGCCTATTTCAACAGGAAGTGGGCGTGTTTGCATTTTATAGAGGTTGCTTCAGCACTTTCTGAAGTGAAGAACAGAGGAGTTGAAGAGGGAGAATGAAGGGCTCTGAATCCAGTCAGTCGTGTATTGGAATAGTGGTACCCAGGAGTGAATTTATAGATGAGAATTTCTGGTGCAGTAGCTGAGCCTACAGCTCCGGGTGTGTGACTGACGCTGCTGGCCACCTGGAAACGCTGTGGGAAGGCACGTGTCCTTATATAGTAATACCATAATAGAATAATATTTAGGGGGTAGGTAAGTTTTTGGGGGTTGGTTGTTGTTTTGGGGGGGAGGGAGGCCAGTCATGAGATACGAAGACTTAAAGTTCATCAAAATCTCAGTAAATCTACATGTGATAAAATTTGTAAGCCACTATTTGAACTAACTGCTTACAGGTTTGTTTTTCTTTTTTCTGTTTTCCCCAATTGATACAGGTGGAATCAAGAGATACTTTAAACAGTATTGCCTTGAAATTTGATACAACACCCAATGAACTCGTTCAATTAAATAAGCTTTTCTCCAGAGCAGTCGTTCCTGGACAGGTACTATTACACTATATATGTTACTTACCCAACAAAGGCCTCTTTTACCCTATATTTCTCATCTCTACCAGAGAAAGTGTTAAAGTACTTCTTTTACAGGTTTTCCTATTGGCTTTGTAAAATACTTTTTTTCTCTAGTTTGTGAATTCCTTGTGCCTATTAAATAATTGCCTAAAAAGGGAACATGTAATGAAGCTACCTGTCTCTCAAATAAGATCAGGGGACTCAAAAAACTAAATATACTTAATGGTATAATAACACTTAGTTACAAACTAAATTGCTACTTTGCAGAAATAGCAGGCTGTTTACCAACTCTAGCTCAGAAGACAAATTTAGGATACAGCTTACAAACAACATTCCTGACTGCATGTTGCTGCCTGCAATTCTATTTTAATAAATTGAATAATGTTTCCATTCCACCCTGAAAACTTGCTGTCTTTACCAGTGGTAGAAGAACTGTCATTCACTTCTTATAGGTACTACTGCTTAAGTCTTTTTCTTTCCCTGTTTTTTTGCCTTCACTTTTCACTTCTTATTGAAAGCCAGGCCTGGAAACAAGTGATAGGTCAGCTATGGTGTTAGCCCTCTGTTTGAAAAAATCCTATGTTTATTTCTGGTTGCTGCAAAAATTTGCCAAGGCAGCTTTGAATGCCTACATTGGCCAAAATAATGTATTTAAGGGCTGAATAACTTCAGCTGGCTTTTTTTTTTTTTAACATTCAGTGCTAAGAGCTATGTCTCTGAACTTGTTCCTTAGCCTGTTCCTTGGTTGTTCAAATAGTAGAGTAATAGCAAGAGAAATAGTTGGGCAGGCCTTCCTTGGACACTGTATTGGGTGTTTCTGGCATGCTGTGTACTTCTAATGCTTTCTCTCTGAGCTTTTTTCTCAATTATTATGACTAAAGATCAGGCTTATCTCAAGATAACATTTAAAAACTGTAAAAGCAAAAATTAAGAAGTACTTTGTGTGGTATTATTTATTCCCTCAACTCATAATTTGTGTTAAAGTTAACAGGAGCAGGAAT